ATGTCACCTGCTCCTCCTGCGGCTCCTGCTGCTGCTCCTGCTCCTGCTCCTCTTCTTCCTCTTGCTGTCCTTGCTCCTGTCTCTGCTCCTGCCACCGAGAATGAGGGTCGGAGGACAAGAGACACGCGACACGCGGGGCAGAGGGAGCGAGGAAGATTTCAACATCAAAGGAGAGGAGAGGAGAGGAGAGGAGAGGAGAGGAGAGGAGAAGTGGGATTAACGGGACACCTATCAGAACTCCTGTCTCTGTGCCTGCTCCTGCCCAACATCGTCATCCCTAACAACTATGAAGGAGCTTCAACTCACCGATCGCCCTCCGATCCCTTAGCATCGCTGCTACAGCACACAGCCAACAATTCTCAGTCAGCAAGCAAGCGTCTTCATCTCAACCTCCACCCTCTCACCCGTTCGCCTTGCGAGAGTCGCTCTCAGCCCTTCAAACAGCAACGTCAGGAGTCGAGGTCGAAAGCGGTCAGCAATATCGATAGCACTTGTCTTTCGAGTCGCCGCCTTTGACGCCGTTCTGACAGAACTAAACGATCACATCCACAACTTCATAGAAACTCCAACCACCTTCTCACTCCCTTCGTTTTCATTGAAATACTCCTCATCAGAGTCTGCAGACATGCCAGTCCACATGTCAGGAACCTTTCGGAGCTCAACGTGTGGTTTGCAAAAAGATGTTTGCAAGGACATCTCTGGATACCAATGTCACAGCAAGCAGCACTCACCGCAATGCTTCTTGCGATAGTTTCGACCCTTGATAGTCCAACATGTCAGTCCATGAGAACAAAGAGCCGATCACTTATTTCCCACCTCGGTTGCCATGACAATGACGCTGAGGTCAACCTAGTCGACGTTCTTGTCGGACAACCTGACAACCGAAGACGATCGTAAAGACTCTACCGCCACCCTCCAATCGATCAATGATGAATCTACCGTGAGGTCTCTCCCTCTATCCTTCCCTCCTTAGCTCTACCTCCTCCCCTCCCTCCCTCCCTCGCAAGAAGAGGAAACATAACAAGCTCTATCTCGTACTTTGCTTATCATTCCATGTCGCTAAACCGTGACGCTTGGTTTTTACACTCTCCACTAAACTCTCTCATCAGGACCTTTCTCCTCCTCCTTTCTCGCCTGCCCACTCCACAAAGCTCAAGCGCGCTGGGAGGAGGATTGTTCTGCGGCGAGACAAGTGCATCTCTGTCTTGGCCTGAGTCTCCATTCGGTCTGCTTTCTACATCTCCGTACTCGTCCACTCCTTCCTTCTTCCTTCCTTTCCCTCCTCCACGCTCCTGATGCCCCTCGCTTACGCTTTTCTCTTCGCAACCAGCCTTGTCTCTGCACCATTCTCTCTCCTCCTCCCTCGCCTCTTCCTTCCTTCCGTTCTCCTCCTCCATTGCCATGCGCCTCCCTCCTCCCTCCCTCACGCCTGCCTCGCCCTCCTGCATTTGCCGCGTGCTGGGGACACTAAAATCACTCAACAAGGCAAAATCGCTCAAGTAAAGGCAGGAAGAAACCTGCAGGGAGGTTGTGGGGAGAGCAACGCCGGGAGAGAGGAAGCAAGAGGATGTCGAAGCCAGCGCCATCATGGCTCAAGGGATTCGCGGGCAAGAGGAAGGAGGCTGCTAAGGAAAGCACCCCGTCCTTCGATGCCAAGGTGTCGCTCTACCTCCTGAACGATCTCAGTGCTGAGATGGCTGAATGCAGAAGGCCAAGACTGCGCAGGAGGAGGGAGAGGGTGAGCTTGCCTTTCCCTGTGCCGTGCGAGTGCCGACGGCACGCAGGGATCGAGGACTACATGGCAGACCACATCCTACCGCAGGACGAGGCGTCATCGCGCAGACGGGTGTGCTGCGTCCTGCTCTGCGCCATCGGTGGAGTGATCTGGAAGGGTCAGGTGGAGAGGAACACAGAGAAGACGAGGCCGTTGAAGGAGAGAATGAGCGAAGCACTGGACAAGGCAGGAGCTGAGAGCGTGCGAGGTGTGCCTGACATGGCGCGCTCAGGGGCTCAGCAACCCCATCGGTAACGACAACATCGGGTTCCGGCTGGTAACTTTGCGCCTGCTGGGGGGTAGGTGGTAGTTATAGCATGCCGGCAGTTGTCGAAGATGGGATTCAAGGAGGGCCAGGTGTTATGAATCTTCATGTTTTTCCTGTGTTTCATCTCCTTTCAATCCTTCTGCCCTCCTTTCTCCATTCTGTGTCCTTCTATCCTGTTTTCTCCCTCCTGTTCTTTCCTCTCTCTCCCTCCCTCTCTCTCCCTCTCTCCGTTCCTCCCATCCATCCCTCCCTCCCTCTCCCTCCCTCTCTCTCTTTCGCTTCAACGTGCTCACGAGGATGGCAGGGGCTGGGGAAGGAGAAGAGCGGGCTAGCAGCTCCGCTAGATATTCACATGAAGGTAGATGCTTCTGTTGACGCTGAGGAGGGAAGGAGACGACTTGACCGCCCAGAAGGCAAGCAGGAGGGGTCTTGGAGTCGAAGAGGAGACGAGGAGGATAGCCCAGGAGCAGGCAAGAAACAAGGTGAACACGGCGTTTCGTCCCTAAGATGTCTGACTGAGAATGTAAGGCCGAGAACGTATCCAACCTCAAGGACTCCTTCCTCTCGAGGCAGAAGGCAAACTTCGAGACGAAGCAGGTGTAAGCACTGGCAACGTTCTCCCTCCTCATCCTCCTCTCGCTCTTCCAGAACATACGGGACCTCTCGAGGGCGCAGAAAGTTTGCGAGACCCTCGACCGAGCAGCAGGTGATGTGCCCCTGTACCTCCTCCCTCTTCCGCGTTCGGCCGACATGACGCATCGCGCCAGGTCTTGAGAATCCTCAGCTGTGGGGCATCTCCATGGACGAGGACGGGAAGCTGGCGGGAGAAGAGGCAGTGGAGCAGCGGATAGAGGCTCCTGATGGGAGCGCGTACTCCCGTGTTGTGAGCGGCAGACCTCAGGACAGGAGCGAGATGTCGCCGGAGGACATCGTCTCCCTGCTGTCAAGGTGAATTTCCCCTCAGCTCCGCCTACCTGAGACGCTTGCGCCCAACAGCATCATTCTCCACCTCCGGACCGTGCATCACTTCTGCTTCCCCTGCAGCGGGCGCTTCCCATCGGCAGAGGTCGAGGGTCGTGATGCAGTCTCGGGCTTTGGTGACGTCACTACAGGAGGTCGAAGGGCATCTGCAACAGTCGGACGACTGCCTGCAGCGGTTCCAGCAGCTCGGGAAGGGACAGGAGGAGAACGATTTGGATTTCAGTGACTTCTGAAGGAGACAAATATACAAGAATCATATGTTGAACCATCCAACGTGCTAGAGCTCTATGCCCAGCCTCTTCTGCTTATCTCGGATGTAGATGGACGTCATCATAAAGCCCAACGTCACGCCTTGGGCCACCACACGCGCCCTCATGAAAACTTGCGAAGCCATCTTGTTTCCCTTCTGGAACTGCCGAAACCCTGAAAGGAGGATGCCTGCAGTGATCACACAACCTGCCCATACTCGTAAGGACGCTGCAACTTGCGCATGCCAGCGGTGGGTCACCGAGAGGCACCACGGGACTCTGTGCTCCGAGGTATCTGTAGAGAAACCTATCGAAGTCTGAAATCTCTGCATGGAGAAGGCACGGGTCAATGACAGTTTGGCTTCAACGTAAACTCTTACCTGTCTTGTTCGCTTTTGCGTTATCCTCCATCCCTGAACAGGCATCGTTTAGCAAAAGGTAGGAGGGGCATCGAAGATTGTTCTGCATCACGCAAGTTCCTCTCACAAATTGCTTCGAACTGATATATTAGATGTTCAATAACAAACTTTGACGAACACAGCACAAATTCATCACTCTTTGGCATATATCTATCAGTTAGACACATACTACACCCTGCTGCACTCTCTAAGTGCAAAAGAAGCTCCATAGAACCCAAGGAACCTTGCTGCAGCAGGATGCACGAACCCAATCCCAGCATTCTTTGCTATTTTTGCTGATCACGAAGTCGCAGGGCGGCATGATCTACTCATTACAATGCTTGCTTGTGTCCCTTATCTCCTCTCCTCTCCTCTCCTTCCTTCTCTCTCCTCTCCTCTCCTGACCTCACCTCTCCTGACCTCACCTCTCCTCTCCTCTCCTCTCCTCTCCTCTCCTCTCCTCTCCTCTCCTCTCCTCTCCTCTCCTCTCCTCTCCTCTCCTCTCCTCTCCTTCCCTTCCCTTCCCTCCCCTCCCCTTCATCTCCTCCTCCTCTCCTCTCCTCTCCTCTCCTCTCCTCTCCTCTCCTCTCCTCTCCTCTCCTCTCCTCTCCTCTCCTCTCCTCTCCTCTCCTCTCCTCTCCTCTCCTCTCCTCTCCTCTCCTCTCCTTCCCTTCCCTCCCCTCCCCTTCATCTCCTCTCCTCCTCCTCTCCTCTCCTCTCCTCTCCTCTCCTCTCCTCTCCTTCCCTTCCCTCTCCTTCCCTTCCCTCTCCTTCCCTTCCCTCCCCTCTCCTTCATCTCCTCTCCTCTCAACTGCGCCCCCTTTCCCCCTCCTTCGGCCATGCACCCAAAGCGCCGCCAAACTTGAAAGCAGGCAGACCGGAGAGAAATTCGGCGCCGGGCGCCACCAGCCCGGCCATGGCCCGGCCATGGGGCCTGGGGTTTTGGCGCGGTCTGCAAAGGTTTGTGGAGGCTTGACTTTCGCGGTAGTTTGAAACCTCTCTGAAAGTATTTCAATGCCCTCAAAACCACCCGGTCTTTTGATGATCAAGTACCCACATAAGTATGTCCATCCCAAGCCGAAGTTCTCTTTGAGCTCTGATTTCGACCTCAAAGCTCAACCCTCCCCAGTCTAAGCACCCCTCTCGCGAAACCGCGAAACTATCGCTATGCAGTTACTGCTCCGCCGCGTCTGGGCTGCTGGGACTAGCCTCCATGCAGGCCTCTCAGGCCTTCACCCGCGAGTACACTCCTTCATCACAGCTGCTGATGCATCATCTCGCAATCACTCCTTCATCACAGCTGCTCATGCATCATCTCGCAATCACTCCTTCACCACAGCTGCTGATACATTATTTCACGATCGCGCTTCAGCATATCTCAAGCATGCGTGTGAGTTGCTGAAGATTAAAGCTCCAACTGGGAACGCCTATGCCGTTGCACTAGCGCTGAATGATAAGGATGCGGAGAAGGAGCTGCAGCTGCAGAAGAAGGATGCGGAGAAGCAGCTGCAGCTGCAGCTGCAGCTCCTGGAGAAAGATCATCAGATTATTGTCAACTACTACAAACGGCGAGTGGCATACATCACTCAGAGGTGTAGAGTTTGTTTGCCACCATGGTGTGGCCTCTACCCTCTACTGAATGATTGCACAAACACAGGTATCTGGTTGAGGATCTTTTCAGGAAAGCTATGGATATTATTGCCAACAGCAAGGACGAGGAGATCAACTCTGTACAGAAAGACTTGCCGCGGAAGGACTTGGGGCTGATGATGAAAAGAGAGCTTTCTATGAGTGCGATGAATAGGCACTTGCAGACGAATAATAGCTTACGACTGGCCGTATGGAAACGGATGGGGTTACCAGAGGACCTTTTGATACCTAGGTTATCAGAAGAGAAGATGTTGTATGGGTACCTGTCGGAACACATCCATGGACCGACGGGGCTGTTTGTGTTTTTATCTTCACGTGCAGCTAAAGAGGAGATCAGATTTTTCAGCGATGTTGCACACGTTTTCAAGAAGGAGGTGGACTTTTTCGACGACGCGTCAGCAGAAGAGGGAGAGCTGATGGAAACTAAATCTATCCTGGAAAAATATAGGCGAAAATCTGAGGACGACAGCGAGCCAAAGCCATGACTTGAATAGGATCAAGGCACTTTTCGATATATGCTTGCTGATTACTGATCATAGTATGTTGCCTGCAGAGTCTTTCTGATATGCGACGCCGAGATAGAAGCTTAGATCATTGTCTGTTGTCGTGTTGTACCCTTTTGTGTTAGTCATGAATTCGTCGAATGACGCAAACAAAACTGTACTGTTGCTTGCTTGAATGATGTGGCCGCATCCACAACTAAGGCTATCAACATCTCCCCCTCCTGTTTGTCACGATCACCGATAATGGAAGAAGCAGTGATCTGATGTGCATGGTTGAAAGCAGCCGAAGTCCCGTAAGTCTTGACATAGTTTTTTCCAGAAGTTTCTGCCACTGCTAGGTAAACCGTAGACTGATTTGTTGCGGATTTTGAGGTATGGTGACTTGATATTGCAGAGCTCACGGAACTGTGGAGGTGTCTTGATCAGGATGTACACCGCCGTAGGTACGGATGCAGTCAAGTATGCCGTCGAGATGTCCTGGCATCGCATTAGGGCCATTGTTTGGCTCGAGCTATGGCAAGGAGTCATCGGATGGTGGCAGGATTTGCAGTCGCAGAGAACGAGTCTAGGTCATCAATGCCCTGTACTGCGTTATACCCTCGGATGATTGCCCTTGCTTTATACTAGAGCCTTGTCCCTTGCTGATCTGATTGCTGAAATCAATGATGCGGTTCTAGGTTGTTGTCGTTGAGGGCTTCATTGATCGAAGGGTCATCATTCTCGCTCGGGCCTCCCCTCCCAGTGTGCCACGGTTGAATGTGTCTATCATTACTCCACAGAGCTGGGCCTCTTTGTGAAGGCCTGCTCCTGATATGGGATGCCCCAGTTGATATAATGATCGAATGCAGCGCCCTAAGATGGTGTAGCAATGTGGCATTGACGAATCTCTGGTGATAGAAGGAGGCAGTGGCGAGCAAGGTTTTCGATGGGACCAGGGCCAACAAATGCCTCAACGCCAGCTGAGGCAACATCTCTGACACCTCTGATCACCACTTTAGCTGTGCGTGAAGATAAAAACACAAACAGCCCCGTCGGTCCATGAATCATCGACTCGCTTAAACCTGGTGGCGGCCTGGCTGCCATTGCGATTTCCTGCAAACTTGCGATTTATTGACTAAAAAAGGAAGGGCAAACCGGAGCAAACAAGGAGAAGGAGAAAACCGACAACTCCGCCTCAATAAAACACTAGGAAAGGAAAGAGGCAGCAAGGATCAGGACAAGGAGCAGTAGCGCAAGGCCCCTGCAAGGAAGACGGCAAGACCCATGCGAGAGCGATACTTACCCACCCCCTCCCCATTCACACACCCTGTGTATTTACGCGAAAGATACCGGTACTAGACCCTTTGATTGGCTGTTCCACCCCCGTGGCCCGGCCATGGGGCCTGCGGTTTTGGCGCGGTCTGCAAAGGTTTGTGGCTCTTGACTTTCGCGGTAGTTTGAAACCTCTCTGAAAGTATTTCAATGCCCTCAAAACCACCCGGTCTTTTGATGATCAAGTACCCACGTAAGTATGTCCATTCCAAGCCGAAGTTCTCTTTGAGCTCTGATTTCGACCTCAAAGCTCAACCCTCCCCAGTCTAAGCACCCCTCTCGCGAAACCGCGAAACTATCGCTATGCAGTTACTGCTCCGCCGCGTCTGGGCTGCTGGGACTAGCCTCCATGCAGGCCTCTCAGGCCTTCACCCGCGAGTACACTCCTTCATCACAGCTGCTCATGCATCATCTCGCAATCACTCCTTCATCACAGCTGCTCATGCATCATCTCGCAATCACTCCTTCACCACAGCTGCTGATACATTATTTCACGATCGCGCTTCAGCATATCTCAAGCATGCGTGTGAGTTGCTGAAGATTAAAGCTCCAACTGGGAACGCCTATGCCGTTGCACTAGCGCTGAATGATAAGGATGCGGAGAAGGAGCTGCAGCTGCAGAAGAAGGATGCGGAGAAGCAGCTGCAGCTGCAGCTGCAGCTCCTGGAGAAAGATCATCAGATTATTGTCAACTACTACAAACGGCGAGTGGCATACATCACTCAGAGGTGTAGAGTTTGTTTGCCACCATGGTGTGGCCTCTACCCTCTACTGAATGACTGTTGCACAAACACAGGTATCTGGTTGAGGATCTTTTCAGGAAAGCTATGGATATTATTGCCAACAGCAAGGACGAGGAGATCAACTCTGTACAGAGAGACTTGCCGCGGAAGGACTTGGGGCTGATGATGAAAAGAGAGCTTTCTATGAGTGCGATGAATAGGCACTTGCAGACGAATAATAGCTTACGACTGGCCGTATGGAAACGGATGGGGTTACCAGAGGACCTTTTGATACCTAGGTTATCAGAAGAGAAGATGTTGTATGGGTACCTGTCGGAACACATCCATGGACCGACGGGGCTGTTTGTGTTTTTATCTTCACGTGCAGCTAAAGAGGAGATCAGATTTTTCAGCGATGTTGCACACGTTTTCAAGAAGGAGGTGGACTTTTTCGACGACGCGTCAGCAGAAGAGGGAGAGCTGATGGAAACTAAATCTATCCTGGAAAAATATAGGCGAAAATCTGAGGACGACACTGTCAGCGAGCCAAAGCCATGACTTGAATAGGATCAAGGCACTTTTCGATATATGCTTGCTGATTACTGATCATAGTATGTTGCCTGCAGAGTCTTTCTGATATGCGACGCCGAGATAGAAGCTTAGATCATTGTCTGTTGTCGTGTTGTACCCTTTTGTGTTAGTCATGAATTCGTCGAATGACGCAAACAAAACTGTACTGTTGCTTGCTTGAATGATGTGGCCGCATCCACAACTAAGGCTATCAACATCTCCCCCTCCTGTTTGTCACGATCACCGATAATGGAAGAAGCAGTGATCTGATGTGCATGGTTGAAAGCAGCCGAAGTCCCGTAAGTCTTGACATAGTTTTTTCCAGAAGTTTCTGCCACTGCTAGGTAAACCGTAGACTGATTTGTTGCGGATTTTGAGGTATGGTGACTTGATATTGCAGAGCTCACGGAACTGTGGAGGTGTCTTGATCAGGATGTACACCGCCGTAGGTACGGATGCAGTCAAGTATGCCGTCGAGATGTCCTGGCATCGCATTAGGGCCATTGTTTGGCTCGAGCTATGGCAAGGAGTCATCGGATGGTGGCAGGATTTGCAGTCGCAGAGAACGAGTCTAGGTCATCAATGCCCTGTACTGCGTTATACCCTCGGATGATTGCCCTTGCTTTATACTAGAGCCTTGTCCCTTGCTGATCTGATTGCTGAAATCAATGATGCGGTTCTAGGTTGTTGTCGTTGAGGGCTTCATTGATCGAAGGGTCATCATTCTCGCTCGGGCCTCCCCTCCCAGTGTGCCACGGTTGAATGTGTCTATCATTACTCCACAGAGCTGGGCCTCTTTGTGAAGGCCTGCTCCTGATATGGGATGCCCCAGTTGATATAATGATCGAATGCAGCGCCCTAAGATGGTGTAGCAATGTGGCATTGACGAATCTCTGGTGATAGAAGGAGGCAGTGGCGAGCAAGGTTTTCGATGGGACCAGGGCCAACAAATGCCTCAACGCCAGCTGAGGCAACATCTCTGACACCTCTGATCACCACTTTAGCTGTGCGTGAAGATAAAAACACAAACAGCCCCGTCGGTCCATGAATCATCGACTCGCTTAAACCTGGTGGCGGCCTGGCTGCCATTGCGATTTCCTGCAAACTTGCGATTTATTGACTAAAAAAGGAAGGGCAAACCGGAGCAAACAAGGAGAAGGAGAAAACCGACAACTCCGCCTCAATAAAACACTAGGAAAGGAAAGAGGCAGCAAGGATCAGGACAAGGAGCAGTAGCGCAAGGCCCCTGCAAGGAAGACGGCAAGACCCATGCGAGAGCGATACTTACCCACCCCCTCCCCATTCACACACCCTGTGTATTTACGCGAAAGATACCGGTACTAGACCCTTTGATTGGCTGTTCCACCCCCGTGGCCCGGCCATGGGGCCTGCGGTTTTGGCGCGGTCTGCAAAGGTTTGTGGCTCTTGACTTTCGCGGTAGTTTGAAACCTCTCTGAAAGTATTTCAATGCCCTCAAAACCACCCGGTCTTTTGATGATCAAGTACCCACATAAGTATGTCCATCCCAAGCCGAAGTTCTCTTTGAGCTCTGATTTCGACCTCAAAGCTCAACCCTCCCCAGTCTAAGCACCCCTCTCGCGAAACCGCGAAACTATCGCTATGCAGTTACTGCTCCGCCGCGTCTGGGCTGCTGGGACTAGCCTCCATGCAGGCCTCTCAGGCCTTCACCCGCGAGTACACTCCTTCATCACAGCTGCTGATGCATCATCTCGCAATCGCTCCTTCATCACAGCTGCTCATGCATCATCTCGCAATCACTCCTTCACCACAGCTGCTGATACATTATTTCACGATCGCGCTTCAGCATATCTCAAGCATGCGTGTGAGTTGCTGAAGATTAAAGCTCCAACTGGGAACGCCTATGCCGTTGCACTAGCGCTGAATGATAAGGATGCGGAGAAGGAGCTGCAGCTGCAGAAGAAGGATGCGGAGAAGCAGCTGCAGCTGCAGACGAAGGATGCGGAGAAGGAGCTGCAGCTGCAGAAGAAGGATGCGGAGAAGCAGCTGCAGCTGCAGCTGCAGCTCCTGGAGAAAGATCATCAGATTATTGTCAACTACTACAAACGGCGAGTGGCATACATCACTCAGAGGTGTAGAGTTTGTTTGCCACCATGGTGTGGCCTCTACCCTCTACTGAATGATTGCACCGTCCAAACACAGGTATCTGGTTGAGGATCTTTTCAGGAAAGCTATGGATATTATTGCCAACAGCAAGGACGAGGAGATCAACTCTGTACAGAAAGACTTGCCGCGGAAGGACTTGGGGCTGATGATGAAAAGAGAGCTTTCTATGAGTGCGATGAATAGGCACTTGCAGACAAATAATAGCTTACGACTGGCCGTATGGAAACGGATGGGGTTACCAGAGGACCTTTTGATACCTAGGTTATCAGAAAAGAAGATGTTGTATGGGTACCTGTCGGAACACATCCATGCCGCCGGACCGACGGGGCTGTTTGTGTTTTTATCTTCACGTGCAGCTAAAGAGGAGATCAGATTTTTCAGCGATGTTGCACACGTTTTCAAGAAGGAGGTGGACTTTTTCGACGACGTGTCAGCAGAAGAGGGAGAGCTGATGGAAACTAAATCTATCCTGGAAAAATATAGGCGAAAATCTGAGGACGACAGCGAGCCAAAGCCATGACTTGAATAGGATCAAGGCACTTTTCGATATATGCTTGCTGATTACTGATCATAGTATGTTGCCTGCAGAGTCTTTCTGATACAGTGCGACGCCGAGATAGAAGCTTAGATCATTGTCTGTTGTCGTGTTGTACCCTTTTGTGTTAGTCATGAATTCGTCGAATGACGCAAACAAAACTGTACTGTTGCTTGCTTGAATGATGTGGCCGCATCCACAACTAAGGCTATCAACATCTCCCCCTCCTGTTTGTCACGATCACCGATAATGGAAGAAGCAGTGATCTGATGTGCATGGTTGAAAGCAGCCGAAGTCCCGTAAGTCTTGACATAGTTTTTTCCAGAAGTTTCTGCCACTGCTAGGTAAACCGTAGACTGATTTCAACCGTTGCGGATTTTGAGGTATGGTGACTTGATATTGCAGAGCTCATGGAACTGTGGAGGTGTCTTGATCAGGATGTACACCGCCGTAGGTACGGATGCAGTCAAGTCAGTGGATAAAGTGACATGTGGCACACAGCGATTGAATGGATGGAGAAGAAAGATTAATAGTAGGCATGCATCCTAGCATAAACCCTCCACAATAAAAGGAACCCTCCACAAACCTTCCACATATATTTGAAGAGTGAAATGGTAATAGAGAAAGGGGTTGTGTGGAGGGTTTGGAGGGTTTGGAGGGTGTGGAGGGTTGAAAATTGAATTGGGGAAAATCAAAAAATATTTGGGAGGAGCAAAATCAAACCCTCCACCCTCCACACCTGCCACGGGTGTGATAATTTCATCAATGATGATTGTTTTCTTTTTATTCGGTTCAGGTCATCGGTTGGGTGCTCCGGGACCACTGTGCAGACGGCAGAACTTCGGAACGGCAGAAGGGAAGAACGGCCATTGGTCACCAAGGGGGGAGCAAGCTCCCGCGGCAAGGCTGCGCCATGCCTTTCCGCCCCCTTGCTGAAATCATGTGAAAGCCTGACGAGAATGATAAGGGAAAGTGATAGAGATAAGAAGGCAGTTGTTCATAGTTGAGTCACGAAGGAAAAGTGTAATACGTCAAAAAAGTCACGAAGAAAAAGTGTGATACCCAAAACGGTCAAATAAGTCAAATGGTATTAAGCTGCTAGCAGCTCTAGCCCGGGCCGCCTGAGCCTACTACGCCGCTCAGCGGCTGAGTGCCGTGCAGAGACTGAGGAAAACGGCGTTGAACGCCTCACTCGGAAATGTCAGATTCAAGCCTTGGATTCGGAAGGAATAGCACTGAAATGATACCAGGCTATGACATATCAAAACGACCAACCGGCAATAAGCGGTGGTCCCATCGAAAACCTTGCTCGCCACTGCCTCCTTCTATCACCAGAGATTCGTCAATGCCACATTGCTACACCATCTTAGGGCGCTGCATTCGATCATTATATGAGTTCGGCACCCCGGCACCCTGGGACGCGGCGTGCCCGTACCCGGCAGTGACCGTACTAGCCTACGGTGCCACCGTGGGTGTGCCGCCGGGCCGCTGGCCGTGACTGGCAGCTGGCCCGGCGGCGCGTTGAAGTACGGTCCGGTCCGCAGGCTGGCTTCCGATTTCCAGTCCGGCGGTCGGTCCCGGCGCCGGCCGCGCCGCCCCGGGCCGGCACAGTGCTGGGAGTCTCCTATGATGAGTCATGCCCGACAGTGCCCGGCCGCCCCCCCCCCCCCCCCCGGCGCCGGGGCCCGGCCCGTACCGTCACATGGCAAGTCACTGGGTGAGGGTCGACTCACAGGCTGGTTGGCCTGTGCGGCAGTGTCGTACTGATTTTAACTTAACTTTGAGTAAAGGGTTCAAGACAAACGGACAGTGTCAACTTCACAGGTCTGAAACTTTTGGATTTGTTTGAAACTTTCAAGATAAATTATCAAAATAGATCTGAAAATTTCTCCAATTTATTCGCCCAGATTCAAAAATTTCGGTTGTGCTGTAAGCATTCAAATCTGAAACGTTGAAGTTTTGATGACACGATTGAACGAAAAAGAGTCTTTTCAAGTCCAATTGAGTGTTTTCATAGGGGGTGGGGTAGGATGTGATGAGTAAATTAGGGGGTGATGTTATGGAGAAAAAGGGGGTACTGTTGTCATAAGTTGGATGATGGGGTGTAGGGGGTATAACAACAAGGATGAACGGATGGAACACGTAGAAACGCAAGGGGAACAGGAGTGCGTCAACATGCGGACGAGGAGGAGGAGGAGGAGGAGGAGGAGGAGGAGGAGGAGGAGGAGGAGGAGGACGATAGCGAGAAAAATGAGAGAGAGGCTTGGAAAGCGTGCGCCAATCAGCACCGTTGACTCGAAAGTGACTTGCAAGTTGTGAAGACTAGATTACGATCAAGTCGACGATGGCAAGGATGACGGTGATGACGGTGATGACGGTGATGACGGTGATGACGGTGATGACGGTGATGACGGTGATAATAAGTTGATTCATGATTTGAGTTGTGCCACCAGTTGTGTGAATTGCCAAGGGAGTGTTTAGATAGCGATGAGTTCAACCATGACAAGGACATTTTTTATGGAGAACAGGTTGTCGGTGATTGTCAAGGTAGCCATCGTGCCTGGATGGGCAAAGATGGAGTATGCGCAGATGTACACTTAGCAGATGAAAGTCCTTTAAAGGCGTAGAATGAAATAGTCTTATTCTCCGCGATTCTTGAGATGGCACGAGCAGTACCTTCAACCCTGGCTGCCTCTCCCGCAATGTGCTCGCCTCCTTCGATCTGCTCGCAAACCTACATGTAAAGATGCCCGCATGAGAGGCATGGCGCATTTCGATGAATGATTTGGAAGAACCCACCCTTGTTCTCTTCAATTGTAACTCACCCTTTTGTCAGGATGCGGGACCTGCTGCTGTTGGGATTCCTTTCATGCCTTACTGGCGTGTCATCCTTCACCCAGCCCTCCCTCCTCTCACATGCTAGGCACTTTAGCCTTCACAGGTCCATCGCGAGTCGACGGGGCCCTCCGTTGAAACCTGCCCATGTCCGAACGCCCTGCCGTCTCCACACTAAGACTACCATGCTTCTGCGGCAATCGGCCGCTGAGCTGAACGCAATTGCGCAGGAGCTCCTTGCTGTGGGAGAGCTAGAGGTGGGGGAGGTGAACAGCTTGATCAAGCTGGGGAAGTTTGGGACGAGCAAGAGCGGAGCGGTGCTGGTGCGTGAAGGGCAGGACGTAACAGTTCCGCTCGAGGAGAGGAACGTTTACCTGCTGCTGTCAGGATCAGCAGAGGTCACGCGAGGAGGAGAGGTTGTCTCGAAGCTGAGCTCAGGGGAGTTCATCGGAGAGTCGAGGTTCCTGGAGGTTGAGACGCTGGAGAAGCTCAAAGTGATCAAGGCGGATTTCGTAGAGGAGACTTTCAGGAGCGTCGACCTCGACAAGAGCGGGAGTATCAGCCCAGCCGAGCTCCAGACGACGGCGAAAGCGCGAGCTGGCATCGAGCTGAGCCTGGAGCAGGCGGAGCAGATCGTGGCTGCGGTTGACTCCAACAGCGATGGGGAGGTGCAGCTGGAAGAGGTCAAGAGGGCGGTAGCGAAGATGGAGGGGAAGGAGTTCATCAGGGACATGTTCCTGATGATGGACAAGGATGGATCAGGAGCGATCGATGCGAGGGAGCTGCGGGCGGCGCTGGAGGACAAGCTTGGGGTGCAGCTCAACGACGAGCAGGCAACGAAGCTGATCGAGATCCTGTCGACCGGGAGGGATCAGCTGACGCTGAACCAAGTGATGATGCTCTCGCAGAAGATGAGGGAGAGTGAAGTACTCGAGCGGACCTTCAGGCTCTTCGACTCCGACGGCTCGGGGAAGATCGACATCAAGGAACTTGGGCCTCTGCTGGCTGCCCTCGGGGTCCAGCTGAGCAAGGAGCAGGTGCAGGTGCTGGTGCAGTCGCTGGACCTCAACAACGACGGGGAGATGGACGTGCAGGAGCTCAAGTCCGGCATCGCGAGGCTGCAGGGCAACGTCGTCGGCCGCTTCGGCAACGTCCTGCGGCTGTTCGAGGCGGTTGCCTTCGGCTCCCAGCGAGGGTCGCAAGTGTCAGTGACGGTGAAGGCAGGGGAAGGAGAGGAGGAGGCGAAATTCATCTCGTGGAGCATCCCCGAGCTGCTGGAGTTCTTCGCTAAGAATCCTTCCACCGCCTCCAAGGTCAAGTCCATCTGGGCCATCAAGCTCGCCATGAAGCTAAAGGCGACGACTGGCCTGCTGTCCCCCAGCAAGCCCTCATCTACTCCTGCCTCGTCCCAGCAGCAGCAGAGCGAGGAGGGGGACCCCCTGACTCCTGCGGAAGGGAAGCCCGCGGACTACGGGTACGGCAGCAACTTCGTGTACGGGCGGTACGGGGATCTCGGACCTCTGAGACGGGCCGTGCCGGCGAACCTGGTGCGCATGGCGGTGTGGAACTTCGGGAGGGAGTATCGGGCACTGAGGAACGCGTTTCGGCTGGGGGAGGTGAGGGAGCTTGTCAACAGCGTGTCGGGGGCAGGCGCATGGTTCCGGTCCAAGCAGGCGCTCAGCAGGATGCTGGGGGAGTGCACGGAGGAGGAGAGGAGGGAGAAGCTGGCGGAGATCTTCAAGTCTATCGACAAGGACGAGTCGGGGGCGATCAGCGTGGAGGAGCTGCGGGTGGCGATCGGAGAGCTCGGAGTGGAGGCGACGAGCAAGCAGGTGGAAGGCATGCTCAAGGTGGCGGATCAGGACGCGTCCAAGGAGATCTCGCTGGAGGAGTTCAGCTCCCTGGTCAACAGTCTCCTCAAGTCCGGGGACAAGTTTGACCTGATCATGAAGAAGAAGGGTTGGCTCCCTCCCCCCGTCGCCAAGTTCATCCTCTTCCTCACCTCCTTGCTCGGCAACGTGGACGAGGGCGTGGAGGAGGCACTCAAGGATAACCTGCGGCCCGTCCGGGGGTCCGAAGTCCCTCCTGAGGCGAGGAGGCTGCAAGAGAAGGTAGCTCGGCTCGTGCTGGACAACGACGCGGTGGCGAAGAGGGAGGAGATCCGCATGGAACAACTGAAAGTTTCCCTTGAGAAGGCGCTGAAGGAGGAGAAGAGCCCAGCCCAGCAGGAGTTTGTGCAGTCCCTCCAGTTGACTGCCACCCCAGCACTCATCATGGTGCCTTACACATTCCTCTGCTGGCTCATCGACGTTCTCTTCGTCAACCGCCCGATCCAGCGCTTCTGGTTCCTGGAGACGGTGGCTAGGATGCCCTACTTCTCCTACATCACCATGCTGACCCTGTACGAGTCGCTCGGGTGGTGGCGATCGTCCATGGACTCGAGAAGGGTTCACTTTGCGGAGGAATGGAACGAAGTCCAGCACCTCAAGATCATGGAGGCGTTGGGAGGGGACAGGAGCTGGTTCGATCGCTTCATGGGCAGGCATGCAGCGATCTTCTACTTCATCATCCTCAACCACATCTGGCTCCTCTCCCCCTCTCTCGCCTACAACTTCTCCGAGCTGATTGAGTTCCATGCCGTCGACACGTACGGGGAGTTTGTTGACGCCAACGAGGAGCTTCTAAAGTCGCTTCCTCCCCCCCAGGAGGCGGTGGAGTACTACAACAGCAAGGATCTCTACCTCTTCGACGAGTTCCAGACTGGGAGGACGCCCAAGTCGCGCAGGCCAGTGATCCGCTCCCTCTACGACGTGTTCTGCAACATCCGAGATGACGAGTTGGAGCATGTGAAGACCATGTTCCAGTGCCAGACCTCCCTCCAGCAGATCCAGAGCCCCAACGCGCAGGCGGCGGAGATGGAGAGGAAGCAAGAGGAGTCTGTGGAAGGGGGGATGGAGGGGTGGGCCTTCCCTTCAGACGAGGACCTGAAGGAGGAGGAGATACTCAGGAAGGTGATCGAGCTGAAGAGGGAGGAGCTGAGGGCGCTGGAGCAGAGGCTGTAGAGGATGTTTGATTGTTCCTCAAGTTCATTCGTGAACCGATTTTTCCCCTCATCGCCTCCACCAGGAAGTCTGCGAGCATTGTTACTGAGTACCCACTTCAAACCCACCCTCCCCTCTCTCCCTCCCCTCTCTCCCTCCCCTCCCTCCCTCCCTCCCTCCCTTCCCTCCCTCCCTCCCTCCCTCCTCTTCCTATCCCTTCCTTTCCTTTCTCCACTCCCTCCCTCAAATCTTCACGCTCCTCTCCTTCATCCTCTCATCACCTTCGCTGCTTGCTCTTCCTTCTTTGTCAGCTTGTCCCACGTCTGCGAGCTAGTCAACGACCTCAACCTCCTCGAGCGGGCAGAACCTCGAGGACGCGCGCGTTGAGCATGGAGTCAGGATGCAGCAGGGCGGAGGAGAAGGCGAGGAGCATGAGGAAGTGCGGGAGGGCGTTGCTGCGTTTTCTTGCCGTCGCTTCCGACTTGCTCCCTTGGCTGGCTGCCTCCTTGACCCACCTGCTCGTTGACAACACCTGTGGCAAGAGATCAACGAGAGAAGAAGAGGGAGATAAGAGGAGAGGGGATAGAGAGTTGAAGTGAGATTGAAGCAGGAACAGAAGTTGTTGAAAGAGGAGGAGGAGGAGGGCCACCTTGTTTTTAAGAGCTTGTCCAATGTTGCTCGCCCCCTTCAAACATATCAGGAAAGCCAGAGAGTCATCACAACCCTGCTGCTGCTGCTGCTGCTGCTGCTGCTGCTGCTGCTGCTGCTGCTGCTGCTGCTGCTGCTGCTGCTGCTGCTGCTGCTGCTGCTGCTGCTGCTGCTGCTGCTGCTGCTCTTCCCTCATTCTCCTGTTTCTCCCTCATCTCATCCCTCCATCTTCCCTCCATCCTCCCGATTCATGCTTCTTGTCCCTGCCTCCCGTACATTCCTCTCCCTCTCTTGCACCCCCTGGATGAATCTGCCTGGCCTCCTCACCCACCACCCTCCCCTCCTCCCCCTCTTCCTCCCTCCTCCTCCTCCTCCTCCTCCTCCTCCTCCTCCTCTTCGTTCATCTCACCGCAACAAGTGACGAGCTCATTGTCTTTGTGGCATTACGTGCCCTCGCCCCATGATGTTTCAAAAACCCGAAAGCTGCGACATGGATCAACTCTCAATCATCGTCGACGATCTTTGGATCGCTCGAGAGCATCCTTGACATCATCATCATCATCATCATCATCACCATCATCATCAACATCACCATCATCATCAACAACAACACAACACTACAGCAGCAACAGCGACAGCAGCAGCAGCAGCAGCAGCACTACTTCCTCTCGTGCTTCTGCTCCTCCTCCTGCTCCTCCTCCTGCTCCTCCAATATCTATATCAACCACAACAACACCTTTGCTACCATGTTACATCAGCAAAAGCTCTATCAGTTTGATGTCTCTCAACTTCACCTGCTGCTCCAGTCGACTTCGTCAAATCTTTCACCGATCGCCCCGTCGACAAAATCTTGGAGGAGAGATTGCGAGCTGGAGCATAATAAGAATGGAGGAGGAGGAGGAGGAGGAGGAAAGCCTCTCAGCACAGAGAACGTACAAGCGGGAGGAAAGGGAAGAGGGCGAAAGGTAGAGAAGAGACGAGAGGACAAGGAAGAGCAGAAAGGAGGGAGGGAAGTGAAAAGGAGGAAACGGAGGAAAGGGGACGAGGAAGAGGAAAGAAGGGAGTGGATGACAAGGGAAAGGGAGAGGGGAAGGGGGAGGGGGGAGAGGAAGAGGGGGAGGGGGGAGAGGGGGAGGGGAAGGGGGTAGAGGGGAAGGGGGGAGAGGGGAAGGGGAAGGGGCAGACCAAAGGAGTCGATCTCTTCCAGAGGCACTTCAACTTCTCCCCACATCTGAAGCCTCGAACATCAGTGAAACAGCACAGCACTCCCCTCTATCCCCTCCCCTCCGTCTGCTTCCCCTCTTGTCCTCCCATCTATCCCACTTCCTGCCCCTGCCCCTGCTCCTGCCCCTGCCCCTGCCCCTGCCCCTGCTCTTGCTGCTTCTGCTGCTCCTGACATATATCTCCATCTTCATCTCCTGCTACTGCTTGCAGTCGTCTCACCATGTCCTGTCTAACATGTACCCACCATCCACCTTCCCTTCCTCTTTCTTCGTTCTTGTGTTGCGTCTATAGCTTCTCCTCTCTACCTCCTGCCCTCTTCAGCTCCTTCTCACTCCTCTCTCCTCCTCCTCCTCACCTGTGGGAATCGCGAGTCCCAAAGAGATTGAACAACCTGCAGTTAGCAAGAAATCAGAGAAACGACAAGACTCGGAAAGACATGCTGGAACGTGGACGAGCAGCACAGTGATGAAAGACAAGTAAGAAGAGATGGGGATGATTTCACAATCGATCAAAGATTACTCGAGGAAGCTGAAAGTGATCGAGATGGATACAAAAGACAGGAGGAAGGAGAACGAGAGCGCGGAGGAGAAGGAACGAGGAGAAGGAGAAAAGATGACAGAGAGTAGGAAGAGGAGGAGTTACGTCAGCTGGACGAGAAAGAAAGAGCCAAGTAGCCGGTAGGCCGAGGTATGGAATAATTTCAATTCTTGACAACCCGGCACTGCAAACAAGGCAAAACAATGATCAGACATGAGGAAAGAAGAGGGAGAAGCAGGGAAACAACGGAGATAGAAACAGAATTATAGGAGACAAACAAGACGCTGAAACAAGCAGCAGCAGAATCAGCAGCAGAATCAGCAGTAGCAGGAAGACTCAGGAAGACACAGTAATATTCAACTTCTACGGCCTGAAGAACACTGATTTCCCACCCGTCCTTGTAAGCTCTCAGCGTTGTAAACCTCACATATCTTGCCCAGTGACCTGAAAGGGCACGTCAGGCATTGGGGATGATAAGAAGGTGCAGGGATGTGGAGAGTGTATAGAGACCGAAGAGGATAGGACAGGACAGGTGAGATGGGGAAGGAAGTCAACAAGAGGAGGAGGAAGAAGGGAAACAGGTAGGGGGAAAGAAACAGGGGAAAAGAGCAGGGAACAGAAAAGAAGAAATTCAGATCAGAAGGCGGAGCTAGGGAATAGAAGCAACAATCATGGTGAGAACAAAGGATCTCAAATTGTTATTGTTCTTGTTGATGCTACTGCTGCTTCTGGTGGTGGTGGTGGTGATGATGATGATGATGATGATGATGTTGTTGTTGCTGCTGCTGCTGATGATGATGATGATGACGATGTTGTTGTTGTTGTTGCTGCTGCTGCTGCTGCTGATGATGATGATGATGCTGCTGATGCTGCTGCTGCTGCTGCTGCTGATGATGATGATGATGATGATGCTGATGCTGCTGCTGATGCTGCTGATGATGATGATGACGATGTTGATGATGATGCTGCTTGTGATGCTGCTGCTGCTGCTGCTGCTGCTGCTGCTGCTGATGATGATGATGATGATGATGATGATGTTGTTGTTGTTGGTTCATGATATGAAAGATTGCATTCGTCACCTTGGAATGCGACATACTGAGAGGAGCAGATGGGAGGGCCAGGATTGAGCCACCCCTGCGACTAGTGAGGAGACGAAGAAGTAGCAAGTGGGGGAAGAGGAGGGGGAAGGAGCGAAGAAACAGGAGAAGCAAGAAAGGGAGATAAGCGTGCGCGGCAGGGAAGAGAGAATAAGATCACAGAGCAGGACGGGCCGGCAGGCCGTCCAGCCAGTCAGGCAAGCAGACAGGCAGGAGGGCAGAGGATGCGAGAGGAAGGAAGAGCGCAACAGCAAGTGAGAAGATGTACCTGGTGGACCTTGGTCCATTTCTTTCCATCAGTGCTGACCTCCACCATGAAGTCTCTACAGCTCAACGTGAGCATAACAAGCTGCCCATGGCCTCTCAACTCGCCTGCTCCCTCCTTTCATCAGCTTCGACGCCTTGTAGCTTCCTGGCCTGCGGAAGAGGTTGAGAGGCGCTCTTGGGGCTCGCAGCTTCCTACTTGTTCCATATCAACAGCCCCCCCACTTTTGTCCGTTTCTGCAGGTCGAGTACGAAGTTGCTGCACAAAGATCACTCGGCGGAGAGCTGAGCATTGAAGAAGAGATGAGGGTGAAATACAAGCAAACACATCTGACAGACATGTTTCAATGGCATGGTGATCGCACAATGATCAACATCATGGAAACAACTCCTCAAGTCGAACAAATGCTGTGGAAACCGATCAAGCTTCTCACCCCGAGTACAACACCTTCCCTTGAGCTGTTCCCTTCACCCTGCAAGGTGGAGCAGGTCATCGTGTGGGATCAGATTCAAGATCGCACGGACTTGTCCACAGAAACAGAGTCGCTGACATCAGTGAAGAAGTTGCTGATGACATCATGCGATGCTTTGGAGGAGAGGGTGAGAACTCGATCAAATCGATTCGAAACATCACCATTCACCCATCTCCTTGCGAGCAAGGCGGATTCGGTGAGGAGGGGAGGGACGTAGAGAGCAGAACTGGCAGTTTCAGCCATTTTGCTCCAGCTGTGTCCGCCACGTTAAGGAGAGGAGGAGAGGAGAGGAGGGGAGGAGGGGAGGAGGGGAGGAGGGGAGGAGGGGAGGAGGGGAGGAGGGGAGGAGCAAGAGCGACCTCATTGACAGGAGGGTCTCATTCTAACAGCAGACAGAATCAAAACATCAGAGTCATAAGCAGGCAAAGAGACCTTGACAGGAGCCTTTGAGGCTTTGGAATCAGAACCGGATAGCTTCGACCTGATCGCGCGATCCAGTCAACGATACATCTCTTGAGGGATCGAAACGGATGTTGTTCTGAAAATCTTCGGAAACATATCTCTCGGGTTTCTCGGCATGTCGATCCCCCTCCTCCTTCATCACCTCAATGCAAACAAGGCAGCTCCCGAGAACGCAATTCCAGCAGATTCGGCAGGATGGTTGCGAATGTGAGAAGAGAAGGTCTTGTAAGCATCAGACGACTTCGCTACCACGTCTGCAAACCTCCACTTCAACTTCCAGCCCTCGCGTCCTCCTCCCACCAATCCTCCACTCACTGGATACTGTAACTTCAGAGGCGTCTCGAGCCTTGTCGGCAATGTCTTGAACCACTCTCTTTACCTTGCCGCGTCATCATCAGTGACGTCACAGTCAACATTAGCCTACGTTGGTACCTGACCGTAATCGCCGATGATAGGAGACGCGTAGGTGCAGCTTTCCTCTTCCTTGGAGGACTTGCCGAAACGTCTTCCAGCATCTCTCAGCTCTATCCCACATCCTCCCATGCCCTTCACCTCGGTTTCTCCGCATCCGCGACCAGCAGCGCCTTTCTCTGAGCAAACACTGTCGTAAACGGCAACGAGTGCTGGAAGGATGGATGAACCTCTGCTGAAGAAGGAAAGTTGTAGAACACGCCTTGGATCTCGCTGGTATCAAGATCAGGTGAAACCTACAAGCTCGAGCCATCACTTCGCATACCTGGACGATGCAGCAGCCTCGGAGCACATCATTGAGGAGCACAGGAGGAGCAACAACCTGACACCTACTATCAGTCCTCTGCTGTGTCTTTCTCTGGATCATGCGTGATAAACAAACTATCCCATCTACTAGCGCTTTGATCGTTATTATGGCTGGTCCATTCCTTACAAGCCAGAAAAGACACACAGTTTTCAAATCAAGTCAACAACTTCATCACCAATCCCTTGAACTTCATCATCGCCATCACCTCCTCCTCTACATAACAATCAGCATCGTCTCTTCTATCATCATTATCATGTTGAAACCGTTGCTGAGACTCGTGTTCGTTGCTATTTCAAACGGCAGCGTGATCACCGTCGCCATCGTCAACATACATCCCATGACGACTACGATTGGGACACAGCCCGTTGTTGAAAGCCTCTGCATGTTCTCATCCTATCCTAAGCATCTTGATCTTGCTACTCCTCTTCATCTTCATCCTCCTCTCCCTCTCAGACCGCCATTCTCTTCTCTCCCCTCCTCTCCCCTCTCCCTCCTCCAAGTCATTCGTCACGTACCCGATCCCTGACATGTTGCGATCCTAGAGCCCCACCACCCCACCCTGGTTTTGGTACACATTTCACCCCCTTTGCCCCTTTGACCCTACCCCCTCATGAAGTTCCCTACCGGTCATCACCTGTATGTCTGTTCAGCCACAATACCCACATGGACCTGACCACCCTGTCAGAAAAGCAGAAAACTCACAAATACCCCTCCTTTCTATCGATAAATTACCCGTACTAATACTACCCTCAAAAGTAAGATGTTTCAGAAACACGACCCCTGCGGAGACCCTCTGAAATTAAGTACCCTACCCAGTCCAAATGCATTTTACGACCCCGCATCACCGGAATCCACCACCCCTACCCACCACTTACCTGCCCACCTTTCATAGTTCGAATGACCCTAAAAGTGTGAATATAAAAATTGGTATGATGCTCAAACTAATTTCATATTCTCATCTCTTATTTTCAAAATTAGGCACGGTCTTGGTTGAAACTGCTCAGGCACACGGCACCGCCGTCGGAGATCGGGGCGGACTCGGGCATCCGCCGCCGGCTAATGATCAATAACTCACCGTCACGGTCGGATCGCCGGCCGGGCCGGGCCGGGCCGCTCAGTGCGCGGCTGCCCGGGCTAGGGTCATTGCCGTGCGGCCGCCGGGGCCCCCTCCAACGGGTAAAAATTGAAAGGTGCGACGGTTCACTCTCCTGATTGTCCTCGTATTGATTTTTAACTTAACATTGAGTAAAGTTTCAGTAGATACTGATGAGTCAAGTGGTTGGAGTAAACTCAGGCGGATATAGGAGATACCAACCGTTGCGTTATTCCACAGAGTCACACTACTACTAAAGCAAGAGAACGCCACTGATGAGCCTGACAGCAAGCAGAACCCACTCGCCTCAGAGTCAAATACGAGGACAGCAAATTGGAAGGCAGCCCTGTACCTTGTCGTCAATCTACTGACTTCTCAACGCTGTGCGTCTTTTTAACAAAAGGATATGCTGACGACGTGACCAGTACATACGGGATTTTCCGTCGTCAGCCTCTTGGTCCCCCACACCCCCGTACCCTCATGGTCCGCGATCCTTCAATTGTCTCCATCTGTCTCTTACGTTTCCTGCATTTGACCCTCGCCAGGCAGGTAGATCCTTGCTGACAAAAGATCTCATCGCTTCATATCCTGGCAGCGGAGTGTTCCGATCTTTACCACACCCTCCCCCGGGAACCAATAACTAGGACTTGCTCCCCTGCTCTCCTCACTCGCGATGTGCACTGGCCCAGTCCTCCCTCCCCGCTCCATCCGCTTCAAGGAGGACTGGCTGCCGGCTCCCAGCAGCAGGCCCTCGCTCAAGCGTTCGCTCAGACCCGTTGGCATATCCTGCAAGCCTGTCGTGAAGGCATCGGGAGAGGGAGAAGGAAGAAGGAGCTGCTTGACGAACTTACTGGAGGCCAGGAGGAAGGCAACGGAGTGCAGCCAGGCTGCGGGGGATGTAGAGGCAGCATGACGCCATGGAGGAGGCACCGATGCCGGGTCATGACGACACTTGTACTGTACAATAGGATGTTTGATAGAGGGTGATGTATGAATAATTTTTTTGGCTGTCATCTTGCAAGAGCGTGTGCGAAGAATATGCGAGAAGCAAACCGATGAGACAGCGACAACTGTAGTTCGATTAAGAAGCCAACCATCTGAGAAGCGCATGGCAGGATGAGAATGGGAGGATGTGATACACACGATCAGCACATACCATTCCTGGCTGAACACTAGGGCGCTTTGATGGTACAGATCTTCGGGAGTGACAAGATCTGCGATATCCTCATGCTCATGTGATGTCGTATCTGTGACAGCATAGCACAACACAGTACATGTAACATCATAGAATATCGTAGTAAAGCTTGTGTGTGGGCTGGTTGTCCACCAACGAATAAATACTAAACAAGGTGAAACTTCACCTTATGCATCAACAACTTACAAGGCTTCTGAAACATCTTGACGCCACTCTGATCCAGAAGGCCCTTCTATTACACAAACGTCATGGTGGTTTTTTGTGGGGGGGAATTGTACAATGATGACTGATTGGTCGGGATCAACTTTGTGCTCTGCAGTCTTGACTCTACTGAGGGCCAACATCTAGTGACCATCCGTTCATCCATGGCCGCGACATGGCGACTTGTAGTATCATATCTTGGCTGGGCTGCTGAGGGTGAGTCGTTCAAGTGAACTTTGAAATCTTGTTGGAAACCGTGTGGCATGGGGGCCGCGGCACCGCCGGTGGGCACCGTCCGATTTCCGAAGTTCCCCGGCCGTTCAGAGCTGCCTGGTGCCCCGGGCGTCGCCGCGAGTCGCGGCGACGGCGTACCTGCGGCACCTCAGCCTCATCCGACGGTCAGCCTGCCGTCAGCGGACAGGCCGCCCGCGGCGGCCCGGCGAGAACCGTACTGAGCCTCGGAGTCACTGGCTCCGACACCGGGGCCGCCTCGGCGGGCCCTCCCGGCGGAGACTCTCAGAGGCGGCACTGACTCAGGCCCATGGCCACCGACACTGACCGTGACTCTCGCAGTGATGCCATGATGATCATGACGGATCACATGGCCGGCCGGATCATGATGGCACAGGCTGAACTTGGGCTGCCAGAGGGCCTCGGACTTGGGCGCGGCAAGGCTCAGCCCGGCACTGCGGCACTGGCCGACTAAGTTCAGTGCCGGGGGCCCGGGCCGCCCCGGTCCCGGGGTCAAACGGAACTTCGGAAGTTTCGGAAGTGACTCGGCAGTGGCCACGGTGAGAAACTGTCACGGGCCGTTGTGACTGTGACTGGCGTGACTGCCAACGGTTACGCGCCGACTATTGTGAGTCGCAACTTCAATCAGATATGGGGTCAACTAAGTTCGTTCTTCCGAGTTCCTCTCTCTCTCTTCCCGGAGTCCGGGCCGCCCGGCCTTTCCTCCTCCTCTCTTACCGTCACTGACTCTCTCGTTCTTCTCTCTTCTCTTCAGTACGGTAGTGCCTGATGATCTTTCAAACTTGCGGACGGGCGCCGCGCGGCGTGCCCCCATCCTTGCCCACATAGCGTTGTCGGGTCAAGGAACTTGCTGACAATTGGGATTTGTACCAGATCCAGGCATTTTCCAGTACAAAATTGTGTGTGAGTAAAAAATCGAAGGATTGGAAGGTTTGAAAATCCATTTCCAGCGCTGCAAGTTCAACGGCAACCGGGGGTAATTGAGAGCTTAGATAAGTAAACAGTTGTTCCTATTGCCTTTGCATAGGATCACTTAGGCCCTTGTATAGTGGAGTAATGATTTGTACCAGAACCTGATGGGTAGGCGTGGTAGTATTTCAAATGATTCGAACCCAACGGACGCGACAGGGGGGTGGGGGGTACAGGTCTTGGTCTGGTACTGTAATGGGTACCTTTTAAAATACATTTAGCAGAGGGGGTCTCCCTCCCCATCTCCCTGCCCTCCGCACTTGCGCATCCCTATCCTTCCCTGTCCATGAGTCTCAGACTCTCGTCAGACCTTCCCTGATGACCCTCAACTTTCTTTGACGCTTCTGTCTGCCTTGTCCTTCCTCAACTTGCTGGAAATTCAAACTCTGAAACCATGCCCATGAGTTGACAAGAACTGAGTTTCTCAGTTTGAATGCGGGAGGAAAGATGATTCATGGAATGAAACTCAGGTGTGCATATATCAAGCTGATGGATACGAGTCGTATAGCACTGGCAAATGACTGTCATTTTACTTCTCAATGATACAGCATCAAGAACTTGCTCTCGATCCATCAGTACTTGCAAAGGGTCATTTTTCAGACAGAACTTCGAGTTCATCTTTATTTTGCGTCGATCCACACGATGACATCTGTTTGATACACTATGTTTGATGAATAGCAAGAAAGCAAGGCTGAACTGTGCACCGCTTGACTGAATTTTCTACAATACTCTTCAATTGTGTAAGAGAGCATGTCACATGTAATCATACCAGGCAAACAAGTCACAGTATCGCTCCAAACCGCGTTGTGCTTAAAACTGAGACTCTACATGAAGATGTTATCGGACTAGTCGAATGATGTACAACTTTATGGTGATACGTGGTTTAGAACTGTTGCAAAGCGGACATGGGAATATGTAGCGGCCTAGGTGATGTTTTCAACGTACTTCAATAAAACAAAGCCAAGTTGTTGCTAACAACATCATCATTTCTCCATGAGCCTGCATGACCTGATGTACATGTTAGAGAAGTCGATGCTCATTCATCAAAAGAGTGGTTAGACAAGAAATTGGTAGATGCTTCTGCGCAGCATTCTTGTGTATGTGGAATCGTGCACACTCACCGTCGTGTGGAAGTGTTTGCACATTCTTCTGCGCAAGTCTCATACATTGTCCTTATCATCTGGAATGGTTGACTTTTGCTGCAAGTAATATGAGCAGCGCAAAGTTGGCAAACTTATCCATATGGTTGGAATGCCGGCGATGCATTGCAGCCTGCATAGCACCTGAGCGCTTTGTTCCACTTATCGCTTGATTCCTTCCAAACAATTGATGATATCGCAGCATGCAACTCGCATTGGCCCAAGGGTGTCAAGCGAGGAAAAGATCAGGATGATGGAAGGGCGAGAATGCAGCGAATAAGAGAAGCTGGTCAGGCTCAGTTTACTTTGTGTAAGAAAATGCCAATGCTTTGTACATGTTAGGTTACAAAGAAAGAGGCAAGAAAGCTCTGGTATGAGACTCGAGAAGAAAAATTTATTCAAAAGGGTATGTCCATTTTCGTCTGCATGATTCAATCGCATCCAACATCAATTAACTGCTCCTGATACCATGTCAGTCTAGTCACAACAAAGATATCAGCACCTTGAAAATTTCTTGCTTCGACTCGAGGTGAAGGAAATGAACTATGATTTACAATGCTATAAGGGGTATCGTTTTGTCGCTCAAAGCGTCTTGATTGTAAGTCATGAAATAGAACACGACATGCAATCAATTTGCAAGTCATGCCTTCATGTGGTACCTCATCACTGCCATTTGATGAATGCACTGGTATTCCTTGAAACTCTTTACATGCCTTGGCAATACTCTTGCATATTTGCTCAGACCGCCCTCAAGCCCGACTCTTTGCAGCAGATTCCTATGAAATAAGTATAGATCATGCTGTCTCCGTGACATGCTTCATGACTTCCTACTTATTGCTCATGAGAGTCAATGTCATCCATCGTACAGCGCCACTAGCGGACGGTCCGTGCGGAGTACTCCTTATTCAAGCTGCTAAAATCTATGATGATCAACCCTCTTTACATGTGTTTGCAATCACAGAGATGTTTTCAGACTGCTGCGCTCACACCAGATTCTGCAGGGATTGCCTCTTCTTGTCCTCGTCTGAGCTCTCCTGCTGCAGATGAGTCACGTCTGCGTAACATTCACTTGCTAACCTTGGATATGCAACCAGGGAAGGGAAGGGGCAAGGCTTGAGAGCTCCCTCTGATCTACAAGGGTGGTCTATGTTGGTCGGAGGCAGGGTAGGGTCCAAAACTTGACCCCATCGGAGAAGGGACTTTCACTGGGAAACAGGTGGGTCCAAAGCATCATAGTTTGAACAGGGGAGGTACCGCATAAACTATTTTGGTACCAGTTTTCCTAACAGTACTCTATAAGTACCATAAAATTGGTACTGTTGGTACAAATATTTGCTACCAGGAAGTACCCTACCGCCTTAAACAGGTCCCAACCAATTTGAATCAGCTCCCAGCCGTCTGACCCACCCCAGACCCCAACTGCCATTTGCTATTCACATGTGTGGAAGGATACCCCCACAGAAAACTATTGGAAACCAGAGGGGTCAGTTGAGAGCGACAACGCTATGCAATCATGGCAGATACCCTTCTATCCTTTCAAGTGACTGAGTCTACTTCATAAATACTCTTACCCCAGAAGCCAATCACCTACCTGCTCTTACCGTAGTACTTCGCTACAGCCGCTCATACATTCCGAAGTTCCGTCCGATCCGATCCGATCCGATCAGCCGGCCGGCTCACCGGCGGCGCGGCCCGCCCGGTCTGCCCGGGCCGCCCGCGGCCCGGCGGCCGGGCGCTCCGAGGTCGGGGGCCGCGCGCGACTCAGCCCGGCCGGCCCCTCTACAAAAACGCACGTGCACGAGCGCAGGGATCGGCGAGGAAGCGACCACATGGCCGCATGGCTTCTCGGTAGGTGACGCGCCGCCGCTCGTGATGGCAGCCCCTCCGCAAGCCGCCTCTATGAGGGGCCATGACGATGGTGACCTTGGATGCCCGAGCGACGATGGGAGCTCGCGCCGAAGTGACAGACTGACGGCCAAGAAGTGGAGGGCAAGAGCATGGGCGCTAGGGAGGGTTATAGCGGAGACGGACAAACCTCAGGTTGTGAATCAAAGGATCTACTTCCCTCTCGAAGACTGTTTCCAGCAGCACATGCTCCTTTCGACGAAGAGATGGCGATGAGCCAGGTGAGATGAAGGATTCCTTTCCTCCTCCTTGTCCTTCTGGTTGTACGTGTGCCCGTGCTGTGTAAGAGGAGAGGAGGGGATGAAGCGGTTCTATACGGTCGAGACACTCGGATTATGCGGGAAAGATCTCAACACAGAATCGCAAGATAGATACCATGAGTGTGAGGCAGTAGGACCCTCGCGGATACTTCATGAGGCCGAGGGTTTTGAAATTGCTCCATACATTCTCATGAGCGATTCGGTTGCTGGTGCAGCTGTTGTTGCTGTCGTCGTTACAGTTGTTGTTTCTTGTTTCAATTCGTTGTTTTCTATGTTTGTCTTGTATCTGTGTCAGGCTCCGCGGGTTGCTCCCAATGAGGATAAAAAAATCCAAGGCTTAATTACTGAGCGTTCGATGACGTTTCGATTTGACAAGCATATGTCTGAGGGATGCAACCCCGGAGCCTTGCTGTACTCTTGTTGCATATTCGAGGCGTGTAAGGCGTGTGAAAAATTATGACATGCCACGCAGGGGCGAGCAAGTCTGGTACAACATCCAAGTGAAAGAAAAGATCTTGGAGAACGCAGCCTGGTATCTCCTCCCCCTCCTTTCCTGGTATCTCCTGCCCACCTCCTCCTCTCCCCATCCCCACCTCCTTCCCTCCTTCAGTTCAGATCCCCTGCTCCGCTTGCTTTCCTGTGTTTGTTTTCTGCTCCCCTTCATGCATTCCCTTATGCCTCCTCTCCTTCCGCCCGATGCCGCTTACCGCGAGGCTGTCCGCTCGCCATGGTCAGTGTTCGAAAAGTGGCAGAGAAGGAAGTGACTGCGAGGGCACCTTCGCTACGCTTCCATCGTAGCCACAGGAATCTCGCGGCCCACATGCTCCTTTGTGTGAACACCTTGTTCTTGCTTTTGCTCGTCCTCGTCCTCTTCCTCCTCCTCCTCCGCTGTTTGCTCACCGGATACCTCAGGGGCTATCCTGATCCTCGGCAAGGGCGAGAGAACATCAAAGGACATGTCACGTTCGCGACAGGCAAGGGCGTGAGAATAGAGACGGCAAGCTGAGGATGATGAGAGAATGCGAACAAACACTCCTAGAGTGCGTCGCATGCTTGAGATTCCTCGAGACAGAGTTGTGAATGTGTAATATCGCTGTATCATCATGTAAGCTAGAGAAAGAAATGTATGATCTTGTAACAAACAAACATAAAGATAGATTAAATGTTGTGAGATAATGAATGAGAGTACACTGCAGAAGATTTCCAGAATTGCGCATCTTGCTTTTCACTGCTGGAATGCAGTGCTATTGCCATTATTCCAGTTCTGTCCGAAGATTCAGATTTCACAGACAACAAGGTTTGTATACTTTGAAGATAGAAAAGGCATGCAGAGGGATTGCAGGATGGGAGGCAAATGAAATCAAACAATAAGAATAAACAGAGAACGAGCAAAAGGAAAGGAAATGAAGGAAACAGCAGCAGGGGAGAGAGCAACATGCCGTGAGGATGGTTGCAATTGTGTGTGATTGATAAGAGTGATGATAGATATCCAGATGTTTCTTCTTCTCATGCTCTCACCTCTCTAGCCTCGTCACTTCCTTGCCCTCGGACCGAGTCGATGGTGGCGAAGGTTCCCCGGGCTGGCTGACTCTGAGCACCAGCAGCAGCAGCGGAGGAGGAGGAGGAGGAGGAGGAGGAGGAGGAGGAAGTATCCTCTTTGCTGTTGCTGGAGCCGAAGAGGAAGGAGAGGCCCCAGGCGATCCAGCCTTGCTTCTGCTGCTTCTGCTCCTCCTCCCGCTCAAGGACTATGAGCGCTGCGTTGGGGGTTAGACCCAGCTCCTTCCTGGTTGACCAGTCAATGGAAGGAGAGAAAGGAGGAAAGATTACATGGTCCTGTTGCTATGCTCCTTTCTCGTGAGCTCACGCTTGGGATAGGACTGAGAGGCGATCAGAGGCAAAGCAGGAGGAGGACAGGAGACAGGAAGGAGAGGAAAGAGATTGTACGAAGAAGATTGAGTTGAGAGGAGGCGAGGAGAGGGAAGAAGTGGAGAGGGAAGGAGAGAAGGAGGAAGATGGCAGGCAAACGAGGCAAAGGAAGCAAAGAAGGAAGGAAATAAGGAAAGGGCGCAAAAAGGAGACGACAGGAACAGGAGAGGGGAGGGAAAGGGAGGGGAGGGGAGGAGGAGAGGAGAGGAGAGAGGAAAGGACGGGAGGAGCACCTGTACAAAGATCAACTTCTTCTTGTCTGCCTCCACACTACCCGGCAGGTCCTGGACGAAATCGAAGGCTCCTCCCAGCACTTCATCTGACAACAGCTGAGCGACTTGCTAACCCCAGCTGGTGCCCACCTGCTTCAAACTCTCGACGGACTGTCGAACCATCGGCGAAACGAAACAGGAGGACGGCACAGGAGGACGAGGTCTGTCCGGTGCTCTTCTCCTCCGGCACGCTCGCTTGGGAGCTTGGCAAGGTTCAACTAGATGAGGAGGAGGGGGAGGAGGAGGAGGAGGAGAAAGGAGGAGGAGAAAGGATGAGGAGGAGAAAGGAGGAGGAGGAGACCTGGAGGGTTCGGACAGTTTAGCTTTCTTGGTTTGATTCTCGTCCCTGCTCGCATCACTGAGATCAGAACAAGATACATCTCCATGCTGGAAGCAGAAGGAGCGGGGCGATGCAGAACACCTGTCCGCGTCATCTTGATTGTTCTTCTCCCTCATCTCCATCTGCCATGCCTCCCGTCATCTACAGCATCTCCACTCCTCCTCCCGCTCACCTTCTTACTCTCAACGCCCACCTCCTTCCTGTACCATGGCGGCGCGCACTCCAGCAAGCACTCGATCATCTGGGGACGAGGACAGGCATGTTCAGCAAGCATCCTCATCATCTACTTCCTCCCACCATCGTGTCGCCGATCTTGACGTCATGGGTCTCGCACAGAGTCTTCATAATACCTCCATCCTTGTCCACCATCTGCAGCTCGTCTCAATCTTCTTGATATTGTCGCGTCCACAACAGACCTGAATGGTCGGAGTATGATCCACTTGCGTTGCCTGCCTCTCCCCTTCACTCAAGGTCTTCTCCTCCTCCTCCTCCTCCTCCTCCTCCTCCTCCTCTCCTCCTCCTCCTCTCCCTCTTCCTCCTCCTCCTCCTCCTCCTCCTCGACCACCACCTTCATTCTGCTCTCATCCTCCTTCGCCTCCTCTCCACCAGCCGCTCCTCCTCCTCACCTTTGCATACTTCCCTCCCTCGCTGGTGTCGACATTCAGTCGTACTGCGACTACACACCTGCACCATCACCATATTCAGCGCCATGTCGTCGCAGCATGTCGATCAGGAGAGTCTTGCTTCACCTTTCCATGATCTTGACGATGTCCTGGTTGCTCCACAGAGTCTCCTCCATGCGCTCTACAGCCTCGTCGTCGAAGTCGCCATGGAGCAGAGCAAGAACAATCTTGTCCTCCTGCATCACGTACATCACCCTGTCGTCTGACCCGCTCGCTCTGACCTGGCCTGCGCACTCGAGCGCCTCGCTGAGACTATCTTTGAAGGAGATGGCGGACATCTGGCAACAGCATCAGCATGCGAGGCAGAAAACGAGCGAATACGAGCATGCCGGGGGAGAGGAAGGAAGCCTCGCTCGTTCGCTGGTTCCTTCCCCTCCCTCGGCATGCTCGTATTGGCTCGTTTTC